AGATACAGATCAGTTGGAGGAAAATTGACAATTTTATGACATTGAGTCTTCCTTTTCAAGAACATATCCTAGTTGTCCATTATTTAGATCTTTGTTAATATCTTTCAATAAAGTTTTATGATTTTCCCCTTGAAGATCTTAAGTATATATTGATTTATTTCTAGGTACTTTATGTTTTTGTTGCTATTACAAATAGTGTCTTAAAAATTAATTTTTTCTGATTGTTGTGGTATGTAGAAATGCACATAAGTCAACAAATATGTTGACTTTTGCATATTGATTTTGTAACCATCACTATAAGTCTATCTTATTAATTTAAAAAAATTATTTATAGATTCTTTAGGATTTTCCAGGTAGACAGTCCCAAAATATGTGAATAATGGCAGTTTGTTCTACCTATTTTTACTTTCCCCCCTCTTCTTTCTTGTCTTACTGCAAAGGAATGGAGCTCAAGTATAATACTGGACATCTAAGATAGCAGGCAAATTTTTGAAAGTCCCTAGTTATATTTCCTGGAATTTAATGCAATGTGATCTGTTGCATTCAAGGACTTCAGGGCTGTTAAAGGGTGTTCTGTAGTCCATCTCTCTGCTGGTTGTGTGAAACCAAGACACTGTAATCAGAGATAGGAAACTTCCCTATTTCAAAAAACATTTTAATATTTTGCTCTTTTTTTGTTTTTAAAGATTATTTATTTATCTATTTGACAGAGGGAGAGAGACAGCGAGAGAGGAAATACAAGCAGGGGGAGTGGGAGAGGGAGAAGCAGGCTTCCCGCTGAGCAGGGAGCCCAATGCGGGGCTCCATCCCAGGACCCTGGGATCGTGACCCAAGCCAAAGGCAGATGCCTAACGACTGAGCCACCCAGGCGCCCCTAATACTTTGCTCTTCTAATAAGGAATCTGTCATTAGAGCTTACTTCAGTAAGCTCTTTTGCCAAGACAAGAAAAATCCCTGCTTCATAAATCTTGCAGAAAAGTAGCATTTGTAATGCAACCTTAAAATCTAGACTAACTCTCACAAAAGCAAGGCTGGTTATCTCTTGTATTCCCATTCTATCCTGGCTAGCTACAAATAAGACAATCTCCTTTGAAGTAATTAATAATTCCCAAAGAAACATTGGCTCACTGCTTTATTACAACACATCTCCTTTTTATTATTATTAAGGAAGGCAGTCAGGGTAACAGATGGGGAAAGCTTTAAGCGTGACAGTTATAAATAGTCTTGCTGTTTATTCCACAATATATTTGCAATTCTTTCTTTGCTGTTCTGAAAGTTGGATCCCTGTCAAAATACTTTCCTCTTGACCAAGGAATACAAATCATTGTCAATAGAACTCTAAAATAATGGAGTAAGTTGATGACGTTCTCTGAAAATTTTACTTATATATTAGAGGATTGTCAACACAAACACCTGATCTTCAGAGGGACCTCTTTTCCAGGGATCAGATGGATTAGGGGGAACCCTTTGAATGAATCAGCTGTCCCAAATATTGCTAAGATTGCTCTTGTTTCTTATAATCAAAGTAATACTTGCCTAATGACCACTGTGTTGCCAAGCACTAGAGAGGGACACAGAGACAGTTACTCCTGACTTTAAAAAGGCAGGCATAGAGAGAAAGCATTAAAAATACAGAAGTTGGGGGCACCTGGGTGGCTCAGTTGTTAAGCGTCTGCCTTCAGCTCAGGTCATGGTCCCAGGGTCCTGGGATTGAGCCCCGCATCGGGCTCCCTGCTCCGTAGGAAGCCTGCTTCTCCCTCTCCCACTCCTCCTGCTTGTGTTCCTGCTCTCACTATCTCTCTCTCCCTGTCAAATGAATAAATAAAATCTTTAAAAAGAAAAAAAAATACAGAAGTTAAATAGCAACAAAAGACTGGAACATAAAGTGCCACAAGTCATTATAATGATAATAATATAAGTTAGAAATATGATTTGGTTGTTCAAAGCACATTTGCTATCATAATAAATATTACATCCGGGATGCCTGGGTGGCTCAGTCAGTTAAGCGTCTGCCTGTGGCTCGGATCATGATCCCAGGGTCCTGGGATTGAGTCCCACATCAGGCTCCTTGCTTGGCAGGGAGCCTGCTTCTTCCTCTAACCCTCCCCCCTCTCATATACTCTCTCTCTCTCTCATTCTTGCTCTCTCAAATAAATAAATAAATCTTTAAAAAAAAAACTTTAAATAGTGTAAATTTAAGGATAACCTATCAAATTATCAAAGATTTTCAAAAATGACAATATCCCCACTGTCAGGGAGGGTGTGGAGAAATAGAAACCTTTAAATACTGTTGGTGCTTGTGTGCAAATTCCTACAGCCATTCTGGAGGGCAATATGGCCATAGCTATCAAAATGTCAAATGTGCATCTCTTGGTTCTGGCAATTCTATTTCCATTAATGGTGGGCTAGACAATTTGGATTCTCTCTCCCCCACCCCCCATCTTCCTCTAAAAGCAAGTAGAGGAGCAAGGCAAAATTTTTTCAAAGCCTTTTTGAAGGCAAAAGAGACCTACAGAAGAGTGAAGAATTATAGGGCCAAGATCCAAGAGAAGAAGGAAACCAAGACAATCAGACTGTGGGGGCCACTTTTTCCTTAGCAATATCACCTTTTTGGTAGATTCTACAGAGAAGATGAAAAGTTAAGTAGAATTAGGGAAGAAACATAGAAGTTCATGGGATGCCCAAGGAGAAAGGGCTCTAGTAACCTTCCAAACTTTAGGATGAGACCCAGTGAAGTAAGGACTGGAACTGCACCGATCCTCACAATGACTGAAGCTCAGCTTTGGCTTCTTTTTTAATTATCAATTTGATTACAACAGTTCCTCTTCACTGGGGTTCCAGGAGATAATATCCAAAGTTCTAAGGCATCATTTATGTATGAGGAATTAACATCTCCTTTATATCTAGGATAGTACTAGCTATATACCCTTCTTGGGAAAATTGAGAAGATAGTCACTCAAATGACCTGGTACAGGGCTTAATTCTCTCCCAGAATCTTAGCTGAGAGTGGTACGATTAGGGAATCCTAATGCCCCCTAGTCACCAGCCAGAAGCTAGAGGAAGATGATGTCTTCTCAGGGCTTCAAATGACCACTCCAGGTTTTATATACACTGACCAGCACTCAGTCAAAAATAACCATGCACATGAGGAGACAACACAGTCTAATAGAACACCACAATAAACAACAGAAACGCCACACAGAGCCAGAAAATAGAATTATTTGACAGATTTTTTTAAATGTTAAAAAGATTTTCTGTGTTCTTTATTTTTTTAATTTTATTATGTTATGTTAATCACCATACAGCACATCATTAGTTTCTGATGGAGTGTTCCATCAGAACTAATGTTCTTTAAAAAAAAGATTGAGCAGAGGCCTGGAAACTCTAAAAAATCTAATGGGAAGTCTGGAACTGAAAAGTTATAATGACAAATTAAGAACTTAGTAGAACTGAATAGCCTCTTGTATGGCTAGAGATAAATCTTACAAACTGGAAATTAAACAAATCTAAAGAAAATACTCATACTGAAGCATACAGAGACAAAATATAGAAAAGAGCATCAGAGCTGAATAGGATGTAGCAAAAGTTTATCTATCCGGATGGAAAGAAGTGAGAAAATGGAGCAAGGCAATATTTGCAAACACAATGAATGAACATTTTCCAAAAACTGATGGGTGGCATTCATCTATGTATTCAAGAACTGCTACAAAGTCCAGGAACGATACATGCAAACCACACCTGGGAACATCATAGTAAAACTGCTGAAAACTAAAACCAAAAAGAAAATCTTAGTGCAGTCAGAGAAAAAGACATGTTACCTCAAATGAGCAATAAGACAATAAGCTGACTTCTCAATAGAAACACTGGAAGACAAGAAACAATAGAATATATTCAAGGTGCTTAAAGAAAATGTAGGAAAATTGTTCATAAATGCATTCAAGGATATTAATTACATTGTAATTTGTTGAATGAAAAGTTGGAAACCTTTCTCCCTCTGCCCCTCTTCCCTGCTTGCTCACTCTCTCTCAAATAAATAAAATCTTAAAAAAAAAAAAAAGAAAAGAAAAGTTGGAAGCCACTTAAATATCCAACAAGAGGGACTGGTTAAAAATACTTACCTCATCTTCAGGTGATGGTATGTAAAACTGTTGCAGGTATATTGTTAAGTGAAAAAAAAAAGCAGGTTATGAAATAATATATAGCATATGCTCTCATTTATATTAAACTTAATATAGTATTTACTACTTAAATATGATTTCATGTAGTATTTTAGTATTTAAATATGATAAAGTATGGAAGGATAGGCACCAAAATACTAATAGTGATCTTTGGGTAATAGAATTATGTGAGAATGTTCCACTTTCTTTATAATATTTTTATAATGACCTTGTATTATCAAATGAAGATATCCCCATTTTTAAAAAGAAAATGAAACCAATCGATACTTGAAAGGTTGTGTTCTCTGTTCACCCTGGGTCCACTGTGGATGTGCAATCGTGGATATTATTTAGTGGATCCCATTACCTCTTCTGAAAGAAAGTCTGCAAAGTAAGGGTCAGGTAAGACTCCTAGACTCAGATCCCTTAATACACTGATCTTCCTAAATCTAGGGAAAATCAGTGAGAACAATGTCCTTTGGAGCCCTGTGGTGACTCTCATTTTATAAGAAGCATCAATCAGTGGTCACCCTTCTCTAATTTAGAGAAATCACTTTTTTTTTTTAAATAAGAAACTTAATACCATTAAGACTGGGTTAAATTTTTAAAATTTTTTTTCTGCTAAAATATCAGCCTAAATTAGAATATAAGCTGTTCCCTAAAGATAAGAAACTACCAGTGTTCCTGTTTCCTAAAGATAAGCTAAATCGTCAGCATTGGTTAAACTGCAGTTCCCTGGGTCCAGTGCAGTACTGTTGATTGCTTACATTGGCAACACGTTGTGCTTAATTTGGGGGTAATGAAGCATCCTTCAGGGTAATAAAATCTGAATTGTTTTTATAGGCCGAGAGATCCGTCTGCCCCTCCGAATCAAAGGGGAAGGAATGGGACCAAAGATTCACTTCAACTTTGAAATGCTGGACGTTGGAAAAGTTTTCACTGGATCCGTACATTGTTATGAGGTAAGCACTAGAATTGTTCATTGAGACTCAAACAGTACTTAGCTCTTTAGGTTTATTTTATTTTGTGTATGTGTATATTGATAGAAAATGTATCGAATCACATCCATTTGCTATTACTCACACTCAGACTGTGGAATGATCTGGCTTTTCCTTGCTTCCTAGCCTTGTTGAAGGTTTCCCCTCTAAGTTTCCTCAAGGCATACTTCAATTGGTTTTATTCTCATCATCTTATGGATTGCAAAGGGGAAAATCATAATCTTCTCCCCACCCATTTAATGCTTGCTCTCTGACAACATAAATCCTACAGACCAGAAGACAGAGAAACTTTCACATTTTCCAGAATGCCCTAATGAGGACAGCTGTTTTCATACTTCAGCGTTTTCTCTGAATGCACTAGTCTCCAATCCATGATTAAAAACCAGTCATTGTACTTTCTGGAACTCTCTGTTTGAAACTTCCCTGCTTTGTCTTTCCAATTAGATAGAAAATGATCCTTTTACAAGATGTAGTCATGGGTTCTTCAGGATCAAAGTTACTTCAGTGTCACCTCACCACTAACTTTGTATCTAGGGTACTTTTTTTTTTTACATTATATCAAATTATAACCATCGAAACTTTATTTTACAAATATTCATAAACTTTAAATGTTTGTATTTCTCTAAATGGAGTAATAAAAGCAATTATTTAATGAGTGACAAATAGGTGTCAGGTTCCATGCTTCCTTGTGTTGTGCACGTTTATTCACGTGTGACAAAAGCGGGAAAGGCAGGTTTTATTGTACCTGCTCTACAAATGAACAAGAGGAGGCAGAGAGTGGTTAATACCATCAACAACATCATCCTTCATGTATGTTGAGCACAATACCAGTACTTTTACATTCATTAGTTTGGTCCTCACTAACCCCTAGGGAGTAGGTGCAATGACTATTCCCATTTTATAGCCAAGGAAGCTGGCACTTAGAGAAGTTTTACTAGTTAAGGTAATGCTAGATACTGTAACAAATACAAAGATCTATACTCTCTCAGACATGACAAGTCTGTTTCGTTGCTCACATAAAGTCTCAAGCAAGGTTACCTCTCAGCCGACAGCTCTCTGCAGAGCGTCGGGGCCCTGGCTCCTTCCAGCTCATAGCTCTGCCCCCCCACCGTGTGGCCTGCAGGATTGCAGCCTCACATGTGTCACGCAGGTGGAAGGGGAAAGAGCGGGGAGAGATGCACTCGGAAGACCTTTTTTAGGAGCTGGCCCTATAGGTGACACACATCACTTTTATTCACATCCCATCAGCTGTGCATCCCTGAAAGAGTAGCTGGGAAATGCAGTCTAGTTGTGAGCACAGGAGAAAGAGGAAGTGGGTTCAGTGAACAGCAAACCTGACTCTGCTACGTTGGTTAAGTAACTTGGCAAGGTCGTTCAGCTAGTAAATGTGAGCGAGCACTGGGTTACTGGGGCCCTGTATCCTGGGAAGAAAAGGCTTTTTGCTGCCCTTTCAATCCCGGGGCTCTCACCATGAGCAAATCCAGCCTATAGCCAGCTCAGCTCTCAGCCTAACCTCGGCATGGGAGGCAGATGCTTGGTTGCTGCTGAGAGCTTCCTGCTGTGCGGTTTATCCCCACATTCACTAAAGTAACTGTGGCCTCAATGGGACGGTGTGAAAGGTAAATAGAGATGTTAATGTCATAATGAGATGGAATATACATAAGAACACGATTTAAATGAAGAAACGAGTCACATGTCTGTCATGAACTGAAATGCAGCATATAGCTACTATGTTGCATTGTCTTTTGCATTTTGAAAAAAGAGTCGCTTTGGGAGGAAAAAAATGTGCACTGCTTCTTATGAAGTTCACATTCTGTCCGTAATTTATCCAGGGTGAATTTCCCTCATATCTCACAGACTGTGTCTTGTGGATGCCACATCAGAAAAGGACCTTTAGTTCTGATGCAAAATGGTTAAGTTTTCCATGAGTGTAATAATAATTTCTTATCAATTTAACCAAAGTGTATTTGAGGCCACCACTTCCCACCCTCCTAGATTTGACCAGTAAAGTAAAGCTCAGCCAGCTAAGTAAGTGTTAGATGAGGTGCTGCATCAGAATGGACAGTTTTGAGCGCTGTGCATTGGCAGAGAAGGACATGGTAAGGTGCTTCTTACAGGAATATTTTGCACTCTCTGCGTATTTAGTGCTGATGCATCATTGCATCTCTCTTTCAATTTATTATGTTACCTCCTTGAGACGAATTTGAATAACTAGCTGTTGCCCTTAGTCATTGCTGAGCTTAGCAAACATGTAAAAAGTAAACCACAGCTCCAAGAGTGTACACTATTCCCCAGTGTAATTAGAAGGAAAACAAGGTGAAGCTCTAGTATAAATTTTCTTCTCCCCAAGGAATTGGACTGCAAGGGTAAGGTAATCAAAGGTCTCAGAATTTCATCCCAAATGACTTGCTGGATTCTGCATACACATGAACGTGCTTCTTTCCCAGGGGGAGAGGAATGACATGCATGTTCTCGAACATGGAAGACCTGGTGCCTTGTACAAAATCTGGGTAAAATATTGCTGTTAACCAAAACATAAAAAGGCAATCCTGCATCTCCTTAGAGAGAAAAACAGTTCCCTTTGAATGGAATTCCCTTTGAATTACCACTAACACCTTTGAGTTGCCTTTAAGTTACCACTAATGTGTGTCAGTCACTTCTTCAGCACAGGCACATTTCAAACCCCTTCTGTGTGGCACTGAGAAAATAGCCAGCAATTGCTGTTGTTTATGCCCCTCTTTGTGAGGCACTCTATTCTAAGGGTTACATAAATTAATTTCATCTTCACAGCAATCTGAGAAGTTAGTGCTACTTACACTTTATAATGGAGAAACTGGGGCACAGAGAAACAAAGCAGGTTTCCCAAGGTCGCACAGCTCGGAAGTCACTGGTAAAACTGGGAATTGAGCCCAGGCAATTTGGCTTCTGAGTCCCTGGCCATAATCACTTCCTACATGGTCTGTTTAAAAGGAATGAAGGGTGAAGCATGAATTCTATGACCAGGAAACTTAAAACCGAGTGAGGGGGATGGAAAATGAATGTAAAAAGATGAATAAAATATCAAGCAGCAATTAGTTAGGTATCTCTCTTGGAGCATCATCCATCTTCTCTTGGAAAAAGTGGTGGTTTTCCTCTGCAAAGGCCCCTGACTCTATTCTACACATGCTCTTGATTCCTTCTTCTTTGCTTCTCGGGAGGCAACTTGAGCTGGTGAACAGCCCACATCCACCCAGACCCCATTCCCTTGGTTACCTAGCCCTCTTCTCTTACTACAACAAACATGTGGGCTGGGTACTGAGTATGCATTATTGCATTTAATATAAGTATACTGCGTCTCCTCTGCCGTACTTCCCACAGCTTTGCCTCCCCCACTCTCCTCACCTCTTATCCTCTCAAAACAGGAATCTCAAATAATCAACCACTATTTCCTCCATACTCACTCACTCCCTAAACATTTGGACTCTGGATTCTGCAGTCACACTCTACTGGAGTCCTTTCTTCTCCAAGGCAGGGATGGCTTTTAATTAAAAAAAAAAAAAAAATCCTAGGGGCGCCTGGGTGGCTCAGTCGTTAAGCGTCTGCCTTCGGCTCAGGTCATGATCTCAGGGTCCTGGGATCGAGCCCCGCATCAGGCTCCCTGCTTGGAGGGAGGCCTGCTTCTCCCTCTCCCACTCTCCCTGCTTGTGTTCCTTCTCTCACTGTGTCTCTCTCTGTCAAATAAATGAATAAAATCTTTAAAAAAAAATCTGTAACATTTTCTTAGAGTTTATTCCCCGTCAGCTCTGTCCACATTCAACCCCTTCTGGAAATTCTCTTCCCTCGGCTTCTTCTAGGTTCCTGACATTGCCCCCATACCTTTCTGTACATTTCTTCCTGATCTCCTGTGCTCTTTCTCTTCGGTGCTTTGAGTGCAGGTCAAAGGCAGTATGTAAATAGAAGAACGTGCTGTCCACCTGTTCAGGTGTAAGCATTGGCAAGGAATAGAGACTGTCTTAGAAGCCCAGGAACAGAGCTGATTGGTTAAAGCACGAGCTCATCCAACAGGCACCACGGGAGGTGGGAGCAGGAGCGATGGATTGAGCCAGGTGTGGACAACTCTGAATGCCAGGCATGAGCTTTTTACATACACATACCTACTGTGCAAGCAAATATGGGCCTATGGTGTATAGGAATAAAACTTTGCTATAGTAAAACAGTTGCTTACACAAGCATCCCCAAGCAATAGAGTTGTATCCATGCAATAGAGTTTGAGGTGACAGTATCCCAGTAGAATGAAATCTAATAGCACAACAAAGAGAATCCTTGTCATCTGGAATCCACAGTGATGTCTCGTTCACATTCTCCAGGCTACACTATAAACAGAGGCTTAGGTAATTCTTGCTCCTCTATTCTGACTTCTTATTTTTCAGTATGTCACTTGTTCTCAACCTTCTCATGCATATAAGATAAATACCTATCTTCCTTCAGTTATCCTACAGAGTATCAGGAAAAGGCATTTTAAGGCCTCTTTTCAGTAGATGTAATTACAATCAGTATTTAGAACATGACTATAGTACATGTGACAACTCTGTTCCAAAGAGGATACTAAAAACACAAAATTACTTCTGCATTGGGTTTCTTATCTTCAAACCCTCAAGGTGGAAGACTGTTCATTTCTCCCCTGGAGTTTGTCTCTGGCTTTAATTCCTGCAGCTCTCTCTCTGGGTTGGTATTAAACAGCACAGCCACGTGCTTATGTGAAAATAAATCAGATGTTCATGCACTGTCTTTGCATTCTTGGCTTTTTATTGATACAGGCAATACTATCCAACAAAGGCAGCATTGATGCCCTCTTCAACGTGATCCCTCCAACTTCGGCTTTGGGGGCCTGCTTTGTTTTCAGCCCCAGGGAAGGCATCATCGAACCAAATGGAGTCCAGGCGGTCCAGATCTCTTTCAGTTCTGCCATTTTGGGGCACTTTGAAGAAGTGTTCCTGGTCAATGTCAGTGGGTCCCCTGAGCCTGTGAAATTGACCATTAGGTAAGATATTATCTATAACTAATGTGGAAGCTAACTGAAGCTTTTATCTACTGCTTTCTTAAACTTCAAAACCAGATCATGTCTTAGATGTCCATAACTCTCTTTGTTAGTAGGAATACATCAAAATAATGGAGTGTTTTAAATTTCCACCAGCATTTACCTACTGAGCACGTGTAACTTACTATTATAATGTGGATACAGATGCTTTTTGGGGATCTAGTTTTTCTACAAGCTATAGCTTTATAAAATAGGGACTTAAAACATTAAACTAGTTCCTAGTTATACTCTCTTTTTTAGGATATTTAGGGAAAATAAATCATTATGGTAACACCTAGATAAAATCATCTTCTGGACTTGGCTTTAACTATTATCCCAGTTTCTCTAAACTTTCATCTTTCATTTTTGTTTTAAGTAAAATTTTTAAATGCTCATACCTATAATACCTCCAGGTATCGTAAAAGAGTCTACTTAGAGCGTCAGTCATCCTAGGCTAGACATTTGCAGCTTTTGTGCTAGAAGTCCTTTGATGGCTTCTCCAGCTGTTTGTGATGATTGAAAGTCATTAATAGCAGAGTTTGTCCTCAGTTTTTAGAAAGAAGTTTTCTATGACCAACCCATTGGGCAGATCTACAACTTTGGTTCCTGGTGCTTAGAGAGATCATGTCTGCAGAACACATTGCAGATCCTCTTTGGATTTTCATAGCACCAGGTTGTTAATTACCATGGCAGTCTCTCTTATTATGGTTACTGCTAGCAGGACCTCCTTCCATCTACAGCTAAGGTCTTCCTTGGGGTCTGGAGATAACATAGGCATTGTGGCCTGAAGAATCCTAGGAAAATTTTTGGTCTCATGATAGTTACTGGAAATTCAGAATCTCAAGATAAGCTTAAAGGTTATTACCACTTCTTTCAATTCCTCCACCTACGTGTCCCTGTGATGGAGTGAATTGTGTCCTCCCAAATTCATATATTGAAATTCTAATACCCAGTTAAGAATGGGACTGCACTTAGAGATGGGACGTTTGAAGAAGTAATGAGGTCATATGGGTGGGCCTTAATACAATGTGACTGGTGTCCTTATAAGAACAAGCATGCAGGTAGGAAAACACCCTGTAAAGGCATAAAAAGAAAATAGCCATCTTCAACCTAGGAGGGAGTCCCTCAGAAGAAACCAACCCTGCTGACACATTGATTTTGGACTTCCAGCCCATAGAGCTATGAGGAAATAAATTTCTGTTATTTAAGCCACTCAGTCTGTGGTGCTCAGTTATGACAGCCCTAGCAAATGAACACAACCTCTAACAAATAAGGAGAGTGAATGAATGTTTGTGTCTTAGGGCTTCTGTGGCATGGCTGAGACAGACTGCCATAATCCTAAACTTCTTTTTAAGTCTGAAGACTTATCTGAAACATTCAGAAGGCATTTATATTTTCTTCCATAATACATCTGTGGTTGTGATAATAGAAAAAATCAGTGTTGCTTTCTAAATATTTGAGTAACACTGACTCTTCAAGAAGAGGCACCATGCTCATCCTGGCCCACGGTTGACATCTGTCAGTGATAAACAGAACATGAGGAGGACAGGAGTACTTTTTCACATTATATGAGCTCTAGTTCACCTCCCACCTCAATAACAATTCACATCTCATGACAAGCAATGGAGGTGGTTCTCTGGAGAAGCAGGAAGAGCAAACCTGCAAATGCAACCTCCATCTCCCTTTCAGAGATTGTCTGATCCTTGAGGGTCCTTGGTAAACTCCAGCAGACCAGCTTTTCAAAGCCCCAGATGAATAAGGTTTTCCGACTTCCTGACTTCAAGAGGTATCGCTCAGAATCATGAGTATCCTCCACAACATCCAGCATCATTGATGGGCCTCCATCCAAAACGGGGAAGACAAAACCTTAAAGCTCTGCTCTTATAAATATTTAAGATAAAAATAATAATCACTCTATCCAAGGGTAAGAATGTATAGGGTATTAAAAGACCATAACTTTACTTTTCATGTAGGAAAAAGGAAAATACTGGCCAAGACAGGCTATTTGTCCTTCAGGTTAAATAAGAAAGCCCATCCCAATTTCATGTGCCAACTCCCTAATTAAGTGCAGCCTAATAATTAATACTGCATTTATTGACACACATACATACGCATTGCTACTCTATTAGGAATAAATGTGTATTTTGGATATTCACTTAAACTTTTCTTGAGCACCTCCTACATGCAAGGTTGTATATTAGGTACAGTGACTCGCGAATTTGAGTTTGTTGGACATTCCTGTTGCATGACTCCTACTGTCTTAACCTTTGACTCTGTGAATTATTTTTCCAAATTCAGGATGTGATTGCCCATTCTCTCAAATATTCCCCAAACTAACTAAAAAATACAGTAGAAGAAATGATAAGGTAATTAATAGGCTACACTAAGAAAATATCCATTTAACATAAAGGAAGGCAATAATGGAGAAAAAGAGGAATGAAAAGGCATTAAGACATATAAAAAACAAGGAGTAAAGTGTAAGACATGAATCCTACTTTATCAGTAATTACATTAAATGTAAATATATTTAACACTTAAAGGCAGAGATCGGCAGAGTGGATTTTTTTAAAAACCCACAAAACACAATACAACTGTTTGCTCTTTTAGATCCAAAAATATGAATAAGTTGAAACTAAAAGGGATGGGAAAGGATACACTAGGCAAACAGTAACCAAAAGAAAGCTGTACTAATATCAGACAAAATAGACTTAAAATAAAACGTGTTACTTGAGACAAAGAGGGACATTTTGCAATGACAAGAGTTAAGCCATTAAGGAAATATAACAATTATAAACATATATGCACCTAACATTAGAGCCCCCAGATATGTGAAGGACAAACTGACAGAACCAAAAGGAGAAATGGGAATAGATTAGTGGCTGCTTAGGGCAGGGAGTGAGGGATAGAGCATGATGAAGCTATGATATGTATTTATCCACATTAATATTCTGTGCCATTGGTTTGGTGATGTGTCTTCTCTGCTTCATTCATTGGTAGGAATTTGGTGATAAGTTAACTACAGCATCATTTGCTAAAATCCAGTGGTTCAAGTTTTGAAAGAGAACTCTAAGAACCACTGTGATAGACCATCATCTTGTAGTTTCTTTAAATGCTAGATTCTATGCTTGACTTAATGCCACTTTCAAGTCCATCACCTTAACCACTCGGCCACGACTACCTACTGACTTAATGCCAGTTGATGGTTTTTAGGACTTATTGTCTCCCTAGTTCCTGATTGTTACTCTGAATTCACTGGATTCTCTATCCACTCCCCCAATTTGTATTCCTATTTCCAGAGGCTGTGTCATTGGACCTACCTTCCATTTTAATGTTCCTGCTCTGCACTTTGGTGATGTTTCCTTTGGTGAGTATTTTTCCATTTGAAGTTAGAAATTGAGTGGAATTACTTTTCTCTCAACATGGAAGGAGGAAGGTTTACAAAGAACCTCTCTTACCATTTTTTTATGGGTAATAGCTAAAAGGGTCTAGAAATGTTCTCTCTTTCCTCTGCAGCAGTGCATTTTGGTGTCATTTCCTAGTTTATATGTGGAAGTTATAACCCTGTCCTGGGCACTAAGAGCTGTCAGCCTGTGGTCATCCCGGCTTTTCCAGCAGTAGAAAAATGGAAAGCCTTAGGCTTCACACTCCTATCTGAATGTTCTGAAAGCCCTATCTATCTAATCAGATTTAATTTTTTATTCTAGAGAGAGAGCACAAGTCAGGGAGGGGCAGAGGGAGAGGGAGAGAATCTCAAGCAGACTCCACACTGAGCAGGGAGCCCAGTGCCAGGCTCGATCTCACAACCCTGAGATCATGACCTGAGCCGAAAGCAAGAGTCAGATGCTCAACTGACTGCACCACTCAGGTGCCCACCTGAACACTCTATTTATATGCAGGTTCTGATTCACCAGTCTGGCTACACAGCATCCTGTTCACAGAGATCCTCTCAAGTTTCAAAGGAATTCAGTGGTGGTTTGACTCAGGTGTTCTATCACTCCAAATGGAAGACATCTATATTTTTGTGTTGTCTTCTTGCTCAGTTACTTCCCTGAGTCATTTCCTCCTGTCTCAGCATTTCTAAGAATAAAAATGACGGCATTAGCAGTAAAAGTTTCCATTTATTGGTTCTTGCTTATATTCCAGTCACTGCTAAGTGAATTACATGCAGTACTACATTTAAACCTTTTAGCAATCCTTTGAGGAGATGCTATTTAGGATTCCCATTTTGGAGCTGGAAGAACTGAGCATTCGAACAGTTAAATAACTTCCCATGGTCACACAGCAGTAGCAGAATGAGTATTTCAAAAGAGATCTGTCTAAGTCATGTACTGTGAACAGGGGTAATGTTGCCCCCAAAGGGGCAAAAATTGTTTGTTTGGGGTTGGAAAAAAAAAAAGCATAGATCTAATCAATGTTTGTGGTCCTCCAAAGTTCAGCCCTACCCAACAGAATCTTATTCCTTAGTATTTATTTTTTCTCATTAGGGAGAAATTAATCTAATTTAAATTACATTTAATTAATTGATTTCATTGAAAATTAATTCATCATCACAGTGGTTCTTTGAGGAGGTGATAATTTAATTTAGAAATTTAAAAATAATTTAGGTAATAATTTGAGAAACCCTACTCTGAATCCATAGTGCACAATCCTTTCCATTTTTCTTTGTTTCCTCCATTTTGACTTTCAGTTCTTTTGCTTCAAGTAGGCCCATCTACTTGGGGAAAAGTTTTCTTTACAAAAATATCTCTTCTTTACAAAAAGCTGATTCATAGTGCCTTTATCAGTTGCTTTAACATTTAACATTTCCTAACATATAGGAAAATTTATATAAATGGAGTTGAATGTCTCTTTATTACCATAGAATATGAAAATGGCTGGAGAAATTTGTATAAATTTGTAAGGCATGTTTAAGTGATAGAGTTTTTGAAGGAAAGTAAAAGTGACCTACAACTTGAAAATTGTCTGACGGCCAACTAAGACAGACATACTCTCCAGGGTTACTGTGACTGATCCACAATAAGAGGTGAATTACTTACCCAAAGATCTATGCAGTTATCCTCCAAACGGCTCAGCTGAGTCCACAGAGAGGTCTGGATGACTGATACATGACAGCAGTGTACCCTTCCACAGGCATTTAAATATGAACTCCAACACAGAATATCTGGAAAATGTGCCCTATAGCATATTGCCCTGGAGGGAGAAAGCAGAATCTAAATAAGCACCTCAATCACTCCCAAGAAATCTCATACTGATTCACTGTCTAGAATCTGCCCTATTGTTCACTGCTGAAAGGTTAATGTCAGTACTATACCAATGATAAGCCAATTTGTGAGCCCCAAGAATATCTGAATCCAAACATTAAAAAGCATCAAAGCCCCTATTAGTACATTTCAACAAAATATGGCCAACAGGAAGTGTATATATATATGCCCGGGATGCCATTGATTTATTAAAAATGCTGTATTTGATATTGGCAAACTCTGGGTAATACAGTGGGTAAAACCATTTATGCATGCTCCAAAGCTAGGTAGGTTTTTTTCCCATTAATGTCTTCCATTTGGTCTGTTCTTATCTCTAAGTATACAGGAAAGGTCATTATTGGGTAATTAATTCATTGTTTCCTAGAGCTATAAAATTACTAATCAACAGCTATTTCTCATGGTTGGTCCAGCTAGAAGTTTTAGTAACTAGCTTAGGTGAAAATTAGAAATAGCTTATTTTTCTTTTGTTGTATAACATCTTATTGAGCCATTTGGTGATAAGGCAGCTAGACAAGAGGCGGGAAGACACTGCAGACACATGACCCAAGATTCCCCAGGTCTGAGATATGAAACTTAACCCTCCTAAGTCCAACTTCAAAATTCAAGTTGCATTTCTTTCAGTTGGGATGTGGATTCTTTAATCTTCTCTGTAGTGTGGCAGGAAATGTTAACAAAAACATACCTTTTTGCTTGCCAACAGGAAATCTAGGGCTATTTCATTTTCAAAACCAATTGGGTCAGTTAATTCAAGCTACCTGCTGTTCTTCTGGATTCTGCACTGTAAAAGCCGAAGTCTGAGACAATTTTTTGATGCAATTTCAAAATTATTTTATGATAATCTTTTTAAGTCCCAAAGTTAGAACTAGAGTTCTCTCATGACTCTTATCCAAAGTGTCATTATTTATTTCTCCAGGAAGATTGGCCTCCTGTCACAAAGAAACATCATCCATGGAAGAGTTTTTTATTGGAAACTTCCTAATTACTACCTCATGTGTGCAATTAGGGCTTTGATGAGTCAGACAAAAGTAAACATGTTATTGGCTCAGGGATGAAAGACCAATAAGGGTGCATATAGTTGCAGATGCAAGAAAAATTAACTGTTACAGGAATAAGCCAGGGATTGGAGGAATTTTCTGGAATTTACTTTCAGGAATTTATTTCAGGATGACTGGCATATTGTATGGAGTTAAACAAGGTTGGTTTGCAGAGACTTGTAGTGTTGGGGAGTACATTGAGCTAACTGAAGTTGGTAATATTGTCCCCATATTGGCAGTAAGGCGAATTCTTGAAGAGGTGTCTGTTATAGGTTAGTGTTAGAGGGCCTTATTTGCTTAGAGATGAAGATTCTAGATTTGGCATCAGGGCCTGTTGGGATTGGTGCTGTTAGATTATTATAAATCACTAAAGTTGATGAGAGGTAATAGTATTGTACTGTTGGTTAATATCTGAAATGTTTAAAGTATGGTTATAAATATTTTGATGGTAAGATTGGATGTTGGATGACATATACAATAATTAATTAGATTGACTGAAGCTACAGTAGCATGAGAGAGTCAGATTATAGAATTTGGGTGGTGACTGTCCCTGAAGGAACAATGAAGCTTTGATAAATCCTCAGATTCATCAAAGAATACAACGGACCAAGTAACAACTGATACACCAGGTGATAGACCCAAAGGGGCAGGGTCAGTATCTGCACACTCACTATTTTTCAGGGGCTACAAGAATATGTTGAATGAGAATAAGGAATTTAGAAGGCTCCAGGTATTCAGTGGACCTGACCATTGTGTAATTTGGTCAGAGAAATTAGGGTTTGAGGGCACAGCTGCTGGGATAAATATAGAGATTTTAAAAAAAAGCAGCATGGTAGTTGTCTCCCATGGCCCAGGTATGAACCGGTCGTATTTCACTCAAGAAGAAATATTTAAATTGACTTTAGGAGGGTGTTAAGTGGGGTGTAAATTAATTGTATTGTCCCTTAAAATCTTAATTGTAATGATTATAGAAAGATCTTACAAAGGTTAGCAGAAAAAAAAATCATAGAAAGCATGAGGAAAGCCTAAACCCAGTAGTATTAGGATTTGATGCAAGCAGAAGCCTAGAAGTAACACTTTTATTAGTAATGACCATGCAGTCTTTAATCAAATAATATTCCCTTCTTTAGGCTTCTTAACAAGCAATACGGGGTTTACAGGTAGTCGTGAAAGGAATTGTTCTAGCTAGGAGCTTACAACTGGCTTTATTCTCGGAAAAACTTCTAGCTTCAGGGAAATAGTCTGAGCAATAGTTTGGAAGGACCCGTGTGAATCCTTATACGAACCACTTCCAGAGTACACCTTACATTCTAAGAGTGCTTATTCCATAAATGGTCAGGTGAAATAAGGGTGAGGGATCTATAGTTTTGGGAGTCCTTGCTGGGAGAGTTCAGAAAAGTTGGATGCAGCAATACATGATTGTGAAACTGACTTTCGAGCAGTTCCTCTGGGATTTCCAAGAAAATCCTTCAGGTATACTTAATCAGGCAATTCTTTTTCCATAACAGATCTCTTCCAAGTAGATTGGCAGGTGGTATCACAAAGGAGATATAAATGTGTTTCCTCCAGCGGCCCTAATGTGTAGACAAAGGCTCAGTCATGGGGATCTCGAGAAGTAGATCAAGTCAAAATACCCCCTGCGGTGATGTAATAACTACTCCTGAGATCAATTGTGTTTTATTGCAGTAGGGTTCAAGGTAGAAAGAGTAATGTTTGCCTCTAGTAGAAATATGTGTATTTGTTCTCCTCTTGTTCTGAAAGTGGTAGGAGATTCAGTGGGCACCTTGGGAATCCAAAATCAGAGTTCAGTTTATTGCTTGCCAGGCAAGGAGGATGCGTATCTCTTAGAAAAGGACCAGGAGTCTCCCTGAACTGAACGTAGGAAGGCTAGATTTAACATGACAAAATAGCTTTGTCTAAGGGAGATAAAAGCCGGTGTGTTGGTCTCTGGCTGGCTCCAAAGGAGATTGTAAAGTCTCTCTCAGGAGAGGCTATTATTCGATTTTGTGTCATCGACCCTGAGTGCATGAGCCTCAGACAGGTCCAGGATGAGTTATATAATGTCTTGGCAGGCTCTAAGTCACACAGCAGGAAAAACCACACAGGCTTCTCCTTTCACACATTGGCAAATAAAAAGAGCAAAGAGGATTCAATTTCTTGAAAAAAATCTGTACTCTATGCAAAAAATTAAATGCAAAATATACTACTGGAGGACTATTCACCAAGCAGATAATAGAGGCTGCTTCTTGAGAGGATCCTGGATGGACATCAAGGGATGGTTTTATGTCTATTGTTGCTACATAGTAAGTGTATAAAAGTATTCATTGAAGGAAGGAAAGGAAGGAAGAAAGAAAGAGAAAGAAAGAAAGAAAGAAAGAAAGAAAGAAAGAAAGAAAGAAAGAAAGAAAGAAAAGAAGTGCATTCATTCATTGTACAATTGAAGACTATATCAGGGAGAAGTAAACTTAAGCAAGTAACAATGAGTTGCATAGACAGTTCATCTGAGAGGTTTGCCAATGCTAGCCGAGGTTGAAGTTCAAAGGACGCTATAGTGGGGCTCTTACTTCTTACCTCACATTTTGTTTTCCAGGCTTCCCTCATACCTTGATGTGTTCCCTCAATAATACCTCCTTGGTCCCCATGACCTTCCAACTGCGTGTCCCTGGGGATGGTGATGGCCACAAAAGCATCTCAACTTGCGATCAGTATTCAGACTACAAAAGACCATCTTGGAGCAAGGATGAAATACCCATTATGAAACCAAAAGAATTCACCATCACTCCCAGCAGTGGCACCATCCGCCCCCAGGGATTTGCCGCTATCAGGGTAAAGTGCACAGCCTTCCAGCACATACGGCCAAGGAGCCAAACTCTCAAATAGTTACTAGGACCACAGCTAAGGTGTGCTTTCCATGCCCACCATCAGTGGGAGAGAGTGCCTCTAATTCACATGGAAAAGTAGGCCTGTAAAGGAAGAAACTACTGGGGCCAGAGAAACCAGCTACAAATATATTGGGCACAAAGAACAGACACTGCTCTAGGGCATTTCCATGAATCTAGATGCATTGCCTTCACCAGAACAATGGATCCTAGTGATTCATAGTGTAACTGCTGCTCTATATAGTGTACATGGTGGTACAAATATTAAAAGATTTAAGAATTCATTGAGGGCGCGTGGGTGGCCCAGTTGGTTAAGCGACTGCCTTCGGCTCAGGTCATGATCCTGGAGTCCCGGGATCGAGTCCCGCGTCGGGCTCCCTGCTCAGCAGGGAGTCTGCTTCTCCCTCTGACCCAAACCCCTCTCATGCTCTCTCTCTCTCTCTCTCTCTCATTCTCTCAAATAAATAAATAAATTTAAAAAAAAAAGATTTAAAAAAAAAAAGAATTCATTGATAACTAAGGCCTACTTTCCTTCAGAATCAAATCGGTTATACCAATAAAAGTCCAGATTTGTGCCACAGATGATACCCAGTTTTTTAATACAAATCTGGACCTCATGATGAATGTAGATGTGATATTCCTAACAGTGGTTTATATTTAGACCCCCAGTGTGATGCTCTGGTTATGGCCACCAGCAGAATTATTTCACAGCTAACTGAGAAATGTTTTACTGTCCTCCCTCACTTACTTTTGCTTCTCCGAAGAGTTAGGTCTAGCATTATTGAAGGCTACTAAGTTGAAATTATTTTATCTTTTTCTGGGAAAGAAAAAAAAATAAGGCTTCCATAGCTAAGGTTGGTAATTTTCTCTTTAGTCATTATCTTTGAATATTTAATTCAGCTATGGTCTTATCCCCCACATTTGTTTTAAATGTTTTATAATATCTCACCATGAATCCACTCATCCTCAATCTCTCTCTTCTGGGACTTCTTGGCTCTTCCAAGGGCTTCTCCATGGACCTAATGAGGTTCATATCATATATTGTTATAACTTCTCAGGGTTGTGGTTTTAGTCTGCTTGGGCTGCTATTTTTACAAATACTCAAGACTGGGTGGCTCATAAACAACAGAAATTTATTTCTCACAGTTTGGAGACTAAAGTCTGAGATCAGGATGACAGAATGGTAGGGTTCTGGTGAGGGGCCTCTTTTAGGTGGCCGACTGCTGACTTCCTGAGTCCTCGCATGGTGGGAGGAGCCGGGGAGCTCTGTGGGATCTTTTTTATAAGGGCACCAATCCTGTTCATGAGGGCTCCACCCTCATGACCTAATCACCCCCAGGTGGCCCCACCTCCTAATTACCATCACACTGGGATTAGGACTTCAACATATGAATTTTGTTGGCGGGGGGAGTGGGGAGGACACAACCATTCAGATCATAGCAGTTCCTACCTGTGACTTTCCCAGGAAGAAGCACTGTTGCAAAGAATTTATTTTGTATTTAGTGCTCAGCCTACACATTACCTACCTTTCCTTTTTGCCTCTCGCACATCACACAGGAAGACTTCAGAAGCCATGGCATCCATCTAGCAGCCTTCTGCCAGAGCTCCTTGTTCTTCTGCCTTCTGACCTTGGCTCAGAGATATAAACAGGACTTCCTCACTCCAGGCATCTCTGCATGCTGGGGCAACTACTTCTCTCTGAATCTGACAAGTTTGCTTTCCAAATCAACAGCTCCATCTTCTTTTCCCCTTTATATTTAGAAAAGCTTTCTTCAAGCTTCAGTTTTTGCTCCTGAACTATACTTCAACCATGTCTGAGTAGACTAGAATTTGGATCCAGTGATTCCCTTTGCAACCAAGAAAAAATTTTTAATTAGTCCTTCATACATAATTTATAGATAGAAAAGCTTTCACCTATGTCAGAAGCTGTTCTCCACATTTAGAAGTATCTCTTCCACTACAAATCATCTTTAAGCAATTAAAAATTGTGACAAGACTTCAACAGCCTGAATGTAAAATTTCACAATAATAAATAAAAAACATAGGGTAAAATATATATACTGGGCACATATTGTCCTTGAATAGACCTTTATTTGGAGCTTCCTGTTTTCTGCTCTAATAATGAATATGGAGGGTAAGGGGACAGAGAAGATTTTGATTTTTTTTTTTTTTAAGATTTCTTATTTGTCAGAGAGCGAGCGAGCACAAGCAGGGAGTGGCAGGCAGAGGGAGAAGCAGACTCCCCACTGAGCAGGGAGCCCGATGTGGGACTCGATCCCAGGACCCTGGGATCATGACCTGAGCTGAAGGCAGATGCTTAACTGACTGAGACACCCAGGCATCCCAAGATTTTGATTTTTCTTGAAAAGACTATCTAGTTGACTCCTTATGCCGGTTTCTGGAACTGTCATGGTAATGTTCATTTATTTTGCTCTAAGAGGGACTTAGCTATAGTGTTTTACTGGTGTATTGAATTTTCATAATGGATATAGCCCAGAGGCATAGAGAACAATTTAAATTGAGTAATTAAAATTTGTTTGATATGGCTCATCCTTCAGGGTCATTTTTCCCCCGATGCAGGTATATGACTTCTCTGATACAGTCTTCTCAGAAATGAGCAAACCTATTGTGCTAAAAGCCATTTGGTTTCTAACCTGGCCTTTGAAAAACCTCAGTAGGCTCTGACCCCGAAATGTAACTTGTTCCACTAAAAATGTAAAATGCCATACATCCCATAATAAAGTACTTAGAAGCCCTACTCATCCGGTGGCCCTCCCCTGCTCCTTTCCCCCCTGAGCAGAGGGAGGGCTGGCCTTGCAGAGAGCCGCTTTTCACCTTTTTCTTTCCAGGTGACCTTGTGCTCCAACACTGTGCAGAAATATGAGCTGGCGCTGGTGGTGGATGTGGAGGGCATCGGGGAAGAAGTGCTGGCGCTCCTAATTACCGCAAGGTATCACACTCACCTGCTTTCTCTCTTCCCCAGCGTCCCCTGGGCCACCAGTAACGGGCTGCATCTCCTAGAGGCAGCACGCCTGCAATCAGTTCCCACTGCATTTGTTCTGCTTTCCTGGGAAGGGAAGCTGAATCTGATATTCAAACAACAAAGCTTTGGAACAGCCAACTGCACCTTTGGTGGAGATAAGAGAAGGGATGTGTGTATGTGTGTTTTGCAGGTGTTAAGAATAATAGTGCTTTCTAATGGTCGGCCTTTCCTAGTAAGTAACTGAAAAGGTTTTACCAGGAAAAGGTGACCAGTTGCTGGTTTTTATTTTTATCTTTAAATATAGTACTTCAAGGTTATGCCCAGAAAGAACAGTGTTCACAGTCCTGCAGTGGGAGATCCATTTAGCGAGACATCCTGCCTCGGGACACTGTTACCACGACTTAAATGCCGCCCAAATGAGGCCCCCTAACCACATCAACTCCTCAGAACCATCCCCACCTTCTCTGTGTTTTAATAGAGGCAGCAGTGAGCTCTGGGGCCAGCTGAAGATCCGGGCTCTGCCATTTGTCAGTTGTGTCTCCTTGACCAAGTTACCGTCTTTCCCAGGGTGGAATGTGATGCTGATGATGACGGTGATCCTAAGTAAATAAATAAAATCATGGGCCACAATTTTGCCAAAGCAAACAGGTGTCCAGGTCTGGGACTTTAGGGGATATGTATGAAAATGCCATCATCTACATGAAATTACTTAGTAAAAACCTGATAACATGTCCCTCCCTAGGGTTTAGGTCTCATGAATTGTGGAAGATGTACCATAAAGGACTTGAAGGTCAAGGCCTTGCAATGGTCTACTTAGTGTTCCTTCCAAAGACCTAACTAATCATTTTGTTTGTTTAAATACGGCAAAAGCTCTCATCTGGTCCTTTCTATACCCAGGTTTACCTTTTTGCCTAGTCTTGCATTTCTTTTCCTTTCTGGGTGCATCTATTCTGATACTCCCCCTCCTCAGCCCCCTTTCCCAGCAGGTATCAATAGGAAATCCTGATTTAAAAAAGGGGGGGGGTGTCTTAAGCAGCTATGTGTTTCCTGCCATGTATACTCTGTGATCCAAGTCAAATACTGTAAGTCCTATCATCCACAGTATTCAGGTAGTAAAGGATTAGCGTTATGAAAGTCGTCAGGTCAACTGGCAACTCCATTCTAGCTAAAAATGAACACCCATCCCATGCTAAACCTCAAACTTTGGGTTAACAAGACTCTCTTTCATGTCATTATTTTTGGTGCAATCTGTAGGAACTCCTTGAAGACCCTCAACAAAAGAATCGCTTTTAGAACTTGCAGAGAGTGGGCAGTGACAGCTTGCTGTGCCCTCTAGCACAGGTTAATCAGCTCTCACTGAGTGGGCTCTTGCTCAGTGCTGTGGGCACTGTGCTATGCTGTTCATTTGCATTACCTCCTGTATTTCCCACAACGCTCTGAGAAGAGTTCATTATGCTTTCGTCAGTTCCTAGGATTACCTTCATTTTACCTCTGAGCAAAATGGGACTCTGGGAGGGACAGCAACTTGTTCAAGCTTGTACCTGTTAAGGTCAGTATTTGAGCCTGGCTCTTGATTCAGACACCAGTACTCCTCACCATGGCACTGTATTGTCACCACTGTCTGTGCCAGTTCCGGGTCGAGCAGCTGTCTGAGTCTACTGATCCAAGACAGCTGTTCTGCACAGGAATTAGAATTATTACCATAATTTAGGATGGTACAGACTCTAGCTAGTCCTCGGGGGACTCTGGCCCAAAGTGTCACAGCTAGTTAGGACCCCATGCTGGTGGCATTGGCCCTATTTGACTTGGAAACCGATCCACTACCCGAAGGATCTTGCACTGTGGGGGCGCCTTGGCAAAACAAGGCCAAATATGAAAAACAATGGAAATGTTAGTCATTACCATGGAAGACTGCTGTTTAAATAGAGTCCTGCTTCCAGCCCTTTTTTTTTTATTAAAAAGTGGTGACTGGGGGCTAAGGGATAGGGATGACAGGAGAGGAGATTTGAAAATGATTAATATAGTCATTAGAGAAAAACTTTTGTGACAGTGACAAATGGTGTTTAACTTGGGACTCTGCCTTCTCCATATGTAAACAAGCTCGCTATCCTTGTGAATTCTTTAATGGGCTCCTTCCTTTGAGCAGGTGTGTTGTACCTACCCTCCACATGGTTAACCCAGAGGTGGACTTTGGGCACTGCTTCCTGAAGTACCCCTATGAGAAAACAGTCCAGCTTGTCAATCATGATGACCTCCCAGGGTGCTATACAGTCCTGCCTCAGGTGAGTTATGTTATCCTTTTCCAGTGTTGATTTTTCTTCGGTTGGATTTTCTTGATGAGAAAGAGAAACCCTTCTAAAGAACCATATTCCTCAACACATGACCTTCTGTTATTCTGATTTTTAACCCTGGGATAATCTGGGCATGGGGTCATAAAGCCGCAGCTGGATTGCCACCTGCATGATTGAGCAGCTACAGGTGTAAACAGTTATTAATTTCCCAGGGAAATTGTCTTTGATAAAGAAAGGAGAGGGTCAATTAAGCCAACATGCAGAAGTTGCACCTGCAATTCATTGCCTATGAATTAATCATTCATGGGAAATGAGGCAGAGCTAGGAGTTTTCATTTATGGCCATGGCTGTGACTTGAACACCATCACTAAGATACGGTAATGCAATATTTATAAATGGACTCGTTGAACTAGAAGGCTAGAGATACTACACAAGAAAAAAAGAAATCGTCTCCTAATGTTTTATGAAATGGATCTGTCCGCATGCCACTACACCTAGCTAAGTGGGACACTAAGCAATTAAATACATGTGGATTAAAGATTCAAAACTATCTGTACAGATCAAAGTAATGGAAGATTACTAAAGGGATGCAATTTACCAAGAATGCATTTGGATTTAAAACTCTATTGTTCTGTAAGGACAGTACTCTAGTAAAAATTCATGCAAAAAAAACCCAAATCAAATGGGGTTTTTATTTGACTATAGGTTCAAAATGAGTTCAAAGACCAGTATGGAAGCCATGGAACCAAAGCAGGTTAGGCTGTATCAGAGGAACACAGGGGTCAGCTAAAGGAAGGAGATGGCCACTGGTCAAGGCAGTGCCAGATTTTATCTTCAGATCTTGACATCATAATTTTTTAGTGGAAACATAAAAAAAAATCGTGTGTGGAGTAACCAGAAAGGCAATCCACATCATCTGGAAATCCAAGTTCTATGAGAAGCACAGTGTTTCATCAGGAACAGAAAAGACTTAGCTAGGATGAAATAGCCATCCTTTACTAGTTGAAGGGCCAACTAAAAGGGGAAATTAGAATTATTCCCCACGTAAAAGGGGAAATTAGAATTATTCTATGGGCTTCTCTGAGACAAAACCAGAAGCCAAGGGTTGGGTTGATGGGAGACAACTTTTCTAACTTTTAGGTGATTGACAGTGGAACAGGCTAGCCTTGAGTGGCACATGATCATCTCGAGAACTCATAGCAGAGCCTGCCCCTGGGGTGATGAGGGAGCTTTTTCTGCACAGCTGGGCTGGGAGAAGGGTGAGGTGCTAGCTTTGAGCACAGAATTTAAGGGGGGAGCCAAAAAGTCATCAAGATAAGTCATATTTTCATGTCACATTTTAAGAAATCCAAATCAATGCAAAATTAAAACAAAATATCAAAATATTAGATGAAGACAGAATTGGCATCGCTGATCTTCCCTTTGGCTTCAGGCCCGAGTAAGGCTGGCAGAGTACTGCTGCATCGGCATGCTGAGTTAGATTAGGCCGTGTTAGGCCAGTCCAAGTGTAAAGACCATGGGGGTCTCTGGACAGCCAAAATCTGTACGCTCTGTTTTTCTCTCCAGGAGGTGAGGTTTCCCAGAAGTACTAACTTATTTGGTCATGGGATTTTTAAAGTTGTATTTGTTGCTGTTTTTCATAAAAGCTAGTGGGGTGCCTCGGTGGCTCAGTTGGTTGAGTGGCTGACTTTTGATTTCAGCTCAGGTCGTGATCTCAGGGTCCTGGGATTGAGCCCAATGTCGGGCTCCACACTCAGCAGGGAGTCTGCTTGAGATTCTCTCCCTCTCCCTCTGCCCCACCCCCTGCTTGCCTTCTCTCTCTCTCAAATACAATAGATAAATCTTTTTTTTTTTAAAGATTTTATTTATTTATTTGAGAGAGAGAGAATGAGAGATAGAGAGCACGAGGGGGAAGAGGGTCAGAGGGAGAAGCAGACTCCCCGCTCAGCAGGGAGCCCGATGCGGGACTCGATCCCAGGACTCCAGGATCATGACCTGAGCTGAAGGCAGTCGCTTAACCAACTTAGCCACCCAGGCTCCCTAGATAAATCTTTAAAAAAAAAAAACTTGTAATATGTTACAGAGCAGGGTTTTGAAGAACATACAGTGATAAACGCTGGTTAACATTCATTCATTCATTCATTCATTCACCTACCTATTTTGCCATTTAAAAAAACACATACTAGGCATATGTTTTGGGCCAGAAAATGGGCATGTATTGAGGAGAGGCCCAGGTCATGCCCTAGGAAGTTTGACAGTCCATGGAACAGATGGACACATAGATAGTACACACTGTGGACTAGGACTACAGGATGCCCCCTGGGGACAGAGGAAAAGCCCTGGGTCTAGAGCATGGGGGATACCTGCAGGTGTTCAGGATGGATATTCAGCTCAGTCGAAGGGAGGGGGCATTCCAGGAAGAGTAACGCAAGTACAGAGGGCTGGAGGTAGGAAGCAGTATCATGTGTTCAGGAAATACCAGGAGCCTCTGTTGACAAAGCACAAAGGGATGAGGTTGGGGGAGGGGGTGAAGCATGAAGACCTGGAGGGCCAGGCCAAGGAATTCGGCCCATGGACTAATTCACACTGCGGATAATTTCAGCATCTTGCTGGGTTGTGCACTTTGGATTGGGGCCTCATGCACACCCCTCTTCCCTTTAGCAGAATTGAGGTGCTCATCCCCATTCACTTGCCTGAATGGTGACACACTCTTAAAGAACCTCCGTGGACTCAGAATGACACTTGTTTCAAAATAACTTAATATGCTATTTCATTCATACCCTGCCAGGGACTTGCTTATCCATCTGGCTTTTCTCTCCCACCAGGTATATGGAGACACACCTGCCGTGTTACTCTCCAGTCCCATGCCCTGTGGAGTCATCCCTCCCCACAGCACTGTTCACATACCTCTGGCCCTGGAGACCCAGGTCACTGGGGAATATAGGTCCACAGTTTACATCTCGACCTTTGGGAGCCTGGACCCCCCTATGGTGAGAGCCAATTTTCAGAATTAGAGTTAAATTTTTTAAAATTATTTATTTATTTTTTTAAATTATTATGTATTTTATGTTAGCATACAGTACCTCATTAGTTTTTGATGTAATGTTCCATGATTCATTGTTTGCATATAACACCCAGTGCTCCATGCAATATTGCCCTCCTTAATACCCACCACCCATCTCCCCCCTCCCTTCTGTAACTCTGTTTGATTCCCGAAGTCCAGAGTCTCTCGTGGTTTGTCTCCCTCTCTGATTTCCACCCCCCCTTCATTTTTCCCTTCCTTCTCCTAATGTCCTTCATGCTATTCCTTATATTCCACATATGAGTGAAACCATATGATAATTGTTTTTCTCTGCTTGACTTATTTCACTTAGTATAATCCCCTCCAGTTCCTTCCATGTGGATGCAAGTGGTGGGTATTCATCCTTTCTGATGGCTGATAATCCATTGTATATATGAACTACATCTTCTTTATCCATTCGTCTGTTGAAGGGCATCTCAGCTCCTCCCACACTTTGGCTGTTGTGGTGCATGTGGCCCTTCTTTTCACTACATCTGTATCTTTGGGGTAAATACGCAGTATTTCAAATCAAAACCACATTGAGATACCACCTTACATCAGTTAGAATGGCAAAACTTGACAAGGCAAGAATTACAGTTAAAATCGCTCTACTTCTTGCATACTCCATATCTGCTATCTTCTGGTTTACATTTTCATTCTGCAATAGTAAAATACTGGTGCTGTTTGTTTGAAGTGATTCTGAATGTTTACAGAGTAAACTAGGGTTTTGCTTTTATCTCTTCATGTAAGGTGCCATAGATAAGCCACCTGACTTAAAAAGCAGCATCACAAAGACAGGCCAACTCGTAAAGTGCCACTGGTGCAGGCACCTGCCAGGAGAAGGTCACTTGCTGAGCAGACAGAAAGAAGAAGGCCCCTCTTCTTCAGGCAGACACAATGCCTTGGTGAAGGCACAGGGCTGGGGAGAGCAGAACAAGGTGGATTTCAGTCCCCAACCTACACAGCTGTGTGCCGTGGACAGCCCTGTTGTTTCCTCTCAGTATGCGTCTTGGGCTGACCAGGCAAGCCAATCATCCTTTTTGGGGAGGAATTCCAGGCTGGATTCATGGGTTGGACCAGCATGGCCATCTCTGTGTCCCTCTGACCACAGAGTACAGAGAGAAGGAATGACAGGTCTCATAAGCACCCTTTAATGCCCCTGCACTTTATAAAAGCGGTGGCCTGAAGCTTCTGTTTCAAACAATCTCCAAGGCCAGCCATTTTTAGCTATTCTCCTGTTCTTTCTCTCGTGTGGAACACAGGTATGTCACATAAAAAGCATCGGAGAAGGCCCAGTTATCTATGTACATCCCACTCAAGTTGATTTTGGCAATATCTATGTCCTAAAGGACTACCCGAGGATTCTCAACCTATCTAACCAGTCCTTCATTCCTGCATTATTTCAAGCACGCATGGTGAGTAGATGGCGGGACAATCATGGGATGAAAATACAGCTTTGCCTATACTTATAGGCAGTGGTCCTGTTTTTACAAAATGCCTTTGAAAATGATCACCAGATGTAGAGATTTATATGGTTCGAATGTCATTCTCATCCCCAGTTCCTCTTTATTATAACCCTTTTGTTGGCTAAGAAACACAATATGCATATAGTTTGGTAAACAAGCAAATATATTTAGTATAATTTCGGGAGGATGCTTCAAAGATCTTATTACTGAACTATACCTAAGCCCCCCACCTCCAGAAAACACCTTTTTTTTTAAAGTTAGCAGAATATTTTACTTATAAACATAGTGCAAAAGTTAAAGATTTTTTAAAATGACATTTTATAATAGTCTTTGATTCTAGAAAGCCAAACATTCCATAATTAGTAAATCACATATGAAAAATGAACAGCCTTCAATGACCAAAGAAAGAATATAAATTGCTCGTCGCATCTCAAACTTCAGAGAGAAACTGCCTGACGAGGTTACCTCCTGAATGGCTATGAGCCCTGTGTGCTCTCCCTCAGAAGGGACCCTGGTGACTGGCACCTGGCTGGCCTATCCTCAGCGTGCACAGTGATCTCTCGGACCAGGAGAGCAAAGTTCATGCCCAGCATGTTCCCAGCTCACATACAAGAACGTGAAAATAATTGGCACCTTTGAAATGTCTCTGTAACTGAAAATGCCTTTTTATATTTAATTTGAACCCTTTTGGCCACAAATATGTTAGCATACTTATTCTAGTTTTATCCTCTCTTCCTTTTAGCAATATTTTAACGTAGTTTATAAGGTTGTGTGAAATACAGGAAGATAGTATTTGCCAAAAGTTGAAATTAAAGAAAACAGCAAAACAAGGATTGATACAAAAATAGATATGTAATAGTTCTAGAATGAGTCTGTCTTATGTCTGTGTATTTTATAATGATATTTAGATCTGCTAGTCTTCTATAAGCTAATTTTTAACAGATAATACCAATTTTTACAGAATTTAGAAATTTCTTATCCAGCAATTGAAAATATTTTTGATTTTAGAAAAAGGTTTATAAATTTAAATATAAAATTTTACCAGCATAGCCCTTCTCCTATCCCCAAGTTATTGATATTGGAATGAATGCTAACATTTGGTTTTAGTATTTGTCAGATATTTCTGAAAAATCAATTATTAATTTTTTAAAAGTCACCCATTAGAAGGAACAGGATCATAGTTTTCTGCTGACTTGTGGCGGCTCCTCAGAGTCATTGGTCCCAATAAGCACTCATTTACTGTTGTTCCTTTTTATTATCATTTGTCATTAGTTCTTATAAAGGCAGCCATTTCCTGCACAGTCACTGCTCTTTGTAGCATGAGCTTTGGACACAACCGCACCCTTGTCCCAGTGCCTTGTGGGTCTTGTGTGGAGAATAACGTCTAATAATATTTAAAGAAAAATCCTACAGAAAAGACGCCTCAGCTAGTCTTTATCCAATGAGTTTGTTGATGGTTTGGGGGAAAGCAAGCGTACTGCCTAGGAAGGGTTGCTTGTGGTCCAGCTTTGTGTGTGCTGAGTTCCCAGTGGAGGAGGCAGAGAGGCATCCCCATTGTCGAGGTGTCCCGGGAGGGTCCTAGTGGATTACAGAGGAGGGGATGGGCGGAAACCACCAGAACGCTTAGGTACCAGGGTAGCACCCGCCACCTGGTTCATTCTCAGGTAGCTCCAGATTTCACTTTTTGATACTTGTTAAAAACCAAAAAATCACACCAAGAATCTATTGGTTTTTACTAATACAGTTTACAGATTGAATGACCCAGCTGGTTGTTAAAATGGGATTTTTTCTTTTCCAAAAAGGTTGCGTGATTCCATCTTTTGATTCTTTAGTATCCTCTTAAACGAGCAATCTCCAGTTCCAAGCAGCCAAACGTGTGATATAAGCGATCTGTTGTAGACTGCTTTTCCCGCATACCCTCTCTTGGAAAACTGGTGTTGGTTGAGCTGATTGTCCTTCCAGCATAAAAGTAGTTTCAACTGTAATTCTCATGGCTGAAAAGTTAACTCCTTTCATATTTCAGCTGGATTTTTTTGTGGATATCCTAGTAAATAAATACTAATGTGTTAATATTATAGGAATTGAATGACACTAACTGGGAAATTAACTACAGTGGGAAGAAATAGAAATACCATTTACTAAATTTTGAAATTGATGTACAGTGCTGAACCTGCAAATTCATTCTCACAGAAATTACCAGGACTTAGGGAAAAGTTTCAGTTACTAGTTTTTTTCCCTAAGTAAGCTGAGAGCTCAGTACCCACGTTAGCGGTGGTCAAATATTTGTTGCATTTCATTTCTCACTCAGAGATAAGCAGGGCAAGGGCACACTCTTCACTTCTTCTATGATTACGAAGGATTCAGGTCTGGAAGTTCTCTCTTCCTGCTGGATGCCCTGATAGGCGGGCTCATCCTCTCTCCTCTTTTGGCTGTTGGAAAATGTCAGCCTTCCCCCGATGCGGCTCCCACTGTCAGCTGCTTGCCACGCTCAGCCTTGTGCATGGCCCACACATCACAGCAACCATTGTGATTAGATTCTCCCTTGCTTGGCAAGAGACATGTATTTGCCATCAGCTGCAGGGGCAGGAGATAGGAAGCTGGAAGCCCACCTTCACCATGCTGTTGGGAAAATAAATTACACTTGGAGTGTTTTTGAATTTCTCAGAAATAAATGCTGTATTAAAAAAATAATTAAAAACCCTGAAACTTCTTAGTATAATATGGAGTGAAGAAACAGTGAAGATTATATTTTTTTTCTGTTTCAGTAAAGCTTAACTTGTTCTGAGTGTTAAAAAAAAAAAAAATTGATTAGTAAAAGAGTGTTGTGTGACCTGGAACAGTTAAGTTCTCCTTTGCTTTGGAATGCCTGAAAGACCAGCCTCCCCTAAAGGTTCGCTGTGGCTGATTTATTTGGATTTAAGATGAAGGACTCAAAACAATAGAGTAAGTCACCTCTGGTTTGGAGGGTTAAAAATATCAGAATGTGAGAGCAGAGCAGAGAAAGGCCATTTTGGCAAGAGTGTGTAGGCTCTGCTTTACCCACAGCGCCCCTGCCTTCTCTCTGGGTGATGGCAGAAATGAGGCAAGAGTATGGTAGTCCTCTGCACCCTAGGACCATCTTAAGATATCACACCCCATGATGTGTGTGTGAAGAGAAGATAGAATGAGCTGTTTCTCAGTTTTCAGTGGGTATATTAGCTCTGCTATGGGAATGAACCACTGCATCTATGGAAGGAAACAAGTAAGAAAAAAGGTATATGGAAAAAGGAAAAGAAATGGGCATGAATCCGAGACCAAATGCAGTTGTTATACCTCTTTATATATATATTTTTTGTTTCTTATAGATTTTGCAAAATAGTAGCTTTGTTTACTAAGGCATACATTTACGACATAGTACTTGGGTTTTAGCTCCTAGCTCAACTCTTCTGTTGAATATGATTTATGCCATAACTTTCTGTGTCCTCAAACATACCCACTCCCTTAAGGTTTGCAGTGTCCCCATTGAGCAGATCAGATAACTGAAGTTCTCTTGGTTGAGAGAATTGCCCAGTTATACGTGAAAGAGTGGCATCCCCTCTGCTATAACTCAGATTTTCTGAATCTTAGTCTGCTCCTTTTTTGTTTTACCACAGAAATGTTTGATTCTAGAGGTCAAGAACTGTGTGTATCTAACATATTTTTTAATACAGAAAAATTTAAGAGATATGCTTAACACTGGAAGCTAACACATGTTAACCTTTCCCCACACTTACCTCAGATCCTTTACTTTAAAGAAATCATGTAGTAATGTTAAAGTTGGAACCCCATCTATTCTCCTTGTCAGTCTCATTTTATTCTTTTTTCAGAGAACCTTATGAATTTGATGTGTATACAAGCCATGCTTTTTATATTACAAGTATATATGTGTTTATAAATATTCTACAGTGACATTTTGTTGCTTTTTAAATGTATATAAATTATATCACTGCATGTAACATTTAGTGACTCATTTTTTTAGACTCAAGATTATGTTTTCAGTATCTATTCATGTTAATACCATAAATCTGTTTAATTCATTTTAACTACTGTGAGTATTCCATTTACGAATGGTTTATCTCTTTGCCCACTAGTTGACAGTTGGGTTATTATAACAATACTTTAGTTAAACAGATATAGGTCTCCTTGTGTGCATATGCAAGATACATATACTTTTGGGTATGTAAGAAAGGGTATACGTCTAGCAGTGGAATTGTTGGGTCTTAGGACAAGTGCACTGTCAACTTTATTAGATATTGCCAAATTACTCTGTAAGGTGATTATATCAATGTGCCCTTCCAAGATGGTTTGAGACATCTATTTCTTCAGCAGGCTAAAATTTATTATTGTCAAGTTCTTGCTAGTCTGAAAATAGAATACAATTTAATTTGTATTTCCCTTATTACTGTTGAGAATTTTTTCATTTAGGTCTCCTCTTCTGTCAATTATCCATTATCAATGGCCTATTTGTAGATGTTCTTTATACATCATGGGTACTGACCCTTTGTTTATAATGGGGTTTTGGATTTTCTAAAGACGTTTTTAATTTAATGTCAACTTTATGAATCTTTCCTTCCTTGTGTCTGTTTTTTATTTATGGTTTAAGAAATATATCCCTGCTCTTCTGTTTAAGTAGCTTTAGACTAATTTTTCATGTCTTTAATCCAACTAAATTTATTTCTGTATAAATGTGGGTAAAGTCTGTTTTCTTTTTCATAAAGAAAGCCATGGGGTACCTGCGTGGCTCAGTCGGTTAAGCATCTGTCTTTGGCTGGCTCAGGTCATGATCCCAGGGTCTTGGGATTGAGTTCCGCTTCGGGCTTCCTGCTCAGTGGGGAGTCTGTTTCTTCCTCTCCCTCTACCTCTCCCCCCTGCTTGTGTTCTCTCTCTCTCTCTCTCTCAAATAGATTAAAACAAATCTAAAAAAAAAAGAG